GAGAAGAAGGATCAGAGAGGATTTGATTGAGGTGTTTAAGATTATTAAGGGTATTGATAATATACATATGCATATATAAATATATATCCATCAAACGTTTTTGTGTTTAGTAGTAAAAACAATAGGACAAGGGGTCATAAATTCACATTTTGGCAGCATAGAAGTTGTCTGCCGTTTAGACAGTATAATGTTTCAAACAGGGTGTTTGGTTTTGGAATGAGCTGCCTGGTGGAGGCAGAAAATTTAACTGAGTTCAAGAAAAGATTGGATGAATACATGAGTAGCAAAGAGTGGTTAGAGTTATGAGCTGGAAGGGACATCCTTGATGGGCTAATAAGCTCCTTTTTGTCCCTTTCAATTTTTTAGAAACTTATAAACATTGAATGCCCTTATAAATATAACTCATCACTATTTGCTGTTTTTGTAACAGCTAGCTCAACAACAGCTAAAGCATCTTAGAGTTTCATTAATTAAGCCTGTCTTCTTTTGTTTTTATCATACCATCAGTATTTTTGTGAAGACGTTTTTCCAAATGTTTTTTTCTGTATACATTTACATTCCTTTTATCATTAACTGTAAGTTTACCTGACTGTAAATCATATTCTTATTTATCCAGTCTTCTTTGGACTGTGTAACAGATTTCCCTTGTATGGTTCTTTATGTATCTGCAGGTTAAGCTAAAAACATCTCATTTCTTTCTGCAGTAGGAAAATGTGATGGTTTATATTTTGAAAGCAATATGTGTAAGCTACATCAGTATATTAATTACTTTTTCAAGAACTGTATGCATAAAAGCCATGTTGTTTGAAGGATGCAGAATATTAAAGAAAAAAATTTCCCCCAAGATCCAATGTAAAACATGGAGTTATAGATAGGGGTGTGTGTATATACTTTAAATGATTCCAAAAATCCAAACTGTTTGTGGAACTTTAAATATAGGAATTTATACAAGTTACAATTTCTGCTCGCAGTCATGTGATTGGCATACAAAATATATTCCTTGCAAAGCTTACAAAAAAATTGAAAGTATATGTATGTATATGGAAGCGGTACTACTGCAAAATTCTTTGTAAGTACAGTAATTAATACACCTTTTTAATTTATACTGTACTAATAAACCTGTATCATTTATACCTGTACTAATGTATTTCATTAATCATTTAATTTACATTTAATATTTCTTTTATTTAAGTTTCTAGCAGAGCTTTATTGACACAGGAGGGGTATAATTAGTGGGTCAGAGGTGTATTGTTGAATTATTTTTACATGACCTCTGTTGGTCTGGCAAAACGGATAATCTGCCAAGGCTCTGGAACCAAGAGTGCTGGAAAATCAGTGGTATACTTGTATTTTATTCGATTGTAAGAGAGAGATAGCAATAGTTGCTTGTAAGGAGCATTGGCAACTCTCAACATTGTTCCAAGCATGGTCAGCTTTTCATTTACAACTGAGTAGTATATATATATATATATATATATATATACCATACATGAAATTTTATGAAATTATAATTTTCCTTTCTTGAAACATTTCAATATACTGTAAAATACCTCAAATGCTTCAGTATGAAAAGACTGATTTTTAGCCCCAAAACATGAGTTTTTAAACAGATTTCTTTAGTGTTCTTACGACTTACCAAATAGTGTACACATCTAACCCGCAAATAGATGTGAAACTTAATTGGATAATTTTTGCAAACTCATCATAATTCTCGGAACCAAAAACAAAAATACTTCAATAATTGGTAAGGGTTGAAGATGGTAAGTCAGCAGCCTATTTGCCTGTATCTCTCCTTGTCTTCTTAACATCAATCTATCATCAAAGTTCTGACTAATCCCTTTTTTTGGAAGTTGTATTCAAGTTAATGTAAACTTTTCTCGCAGCTTTCTCTCTGTTACAGTGGTGTTGATTTATAGGTAATGTAAACAATATTGTCTGGACTGCATCTTATATACTTGACATATGTCCTTCCTTTTATGGTCAAGCATTATTGTGTAACTTTTCATGTGCATTCATTAGCTGTGCTCAGGTTTTTCTGCATATTGTGTGTGTGTGTGTGTGTGTGTGTATATATATATATATATATATATATATACCATACATGAAATTTTATGAAATTATAATTTTCCTTTCTTGAAGCATTTCAATATACTGTAAAATACCTCAAATGCTTCAGTATGAATGACATCATATTATATAGTAAAAATAATAAGTTTAAGCTTTGCAAGTCCAGATGCAGACTTGTTCTTTGAGAAATGTATTATTCTGTTTGAATTTTAAACTTGTAGAATGGTTTATCTAATAATGTTGTATGTGCAGTTAGTTTGAATTATTTTAAGTTTGTTGGATAAATGTGTGTGATGGGTTGCATTTGACTTAGTTCTAAGGTTTTAGTAGGTGAGGTATGACCTTGACGAGCCAAATGGCCTTCTGTCACATTACATTTCTGATGTTCTTTTATTTCATAGTCTTGTTTTTTATTAACTGAAAAAATTTTATTTGATGTGATCATAATTAGAAACAGGAGATAGTAGAATTAGAGTGGAATTTGATTAGTGGAATTTGCTAATTGATTAATCTTCAAGCTCATTAATGAATTTGATTCAAATAATTTAATTGTTCTCGTGTGAGACTTGGATAGTTGGAAAAATTGAATAAAGCAGTGATCAGAAACACTAATATTAATTAGTTCATTTCTTTTGTGACATTAATTGATGCTCTTAGGTTATCAAGTTAATCACTGATCTCTGATTAGAATCACCAAGTACATATCATTCAGTAAATAAAAAAGAAATGCATAAAATGTTTAAGTCTAAAATTTTAATGAAAAGCTCTATATTTTAGAGAAAAAGAACATCTATTGTATAAGATGTCTGTACTGTTATGTGCTTTTTTCACATGATTGCTTTTTATAGTTATCTGAACAATATGATCAACTCCTTAAAGAAAACAAGAAGCTATCAGATGAAGTTGATCTTTTGAAAACTGAGAAGCAGAACTTGCAAAGGCAGAACCTGATCCTTAAGAAAAACATCTCATCTCTTTTCAAAACAGCTAAAGAAGAAATAACTCGAAAGAACAGTGAAATTCATGAACTGAGAGAAAAGTAAGTACTGGATAAAAGCAAAGAGGAACTATTTATAAGAAATGGCAGAATACTTGTTAAACATTAATGACAAAAAGACCCGCTGAAATCAGAATTCCCATTTAGTCAACCATCCCAAATCATAAACAAACTATCGGCTCACCAAGACCACTGTTAGTAATTCCAAAACTCTCATCAACACTCTATCAATGTGTGTGGGGTTGAAGAGAAACTCACAGTTTCCGAGCACCCCTGGTTGCCGCACAAGCCCCTTAGGGGCTTGTGTGATATCAAACCAAAATAACTGCCATGATATATATGTGTTTGTGTTAAACATTACAGTTAGGTTGTTTATCTTTAAACATTAACTAGCACCTTAACAGGGTGTTTAAAAGTATATAAACTCTACACGAATTTAAAAAAAATACAAACTATGCATTAATTAAAAATTAAGAATTGTAAGCAAAAGATTATTATTATTATTATTGTAAAAAGTAGTGAGTTAATTTTCAGGGTAGCTAAGTTTAACATATTAAAGTGCATTATCTTTCATTGTTCACAGTTTAGCACCCAAATTGTATTTACTTGTACATGTTTGTTCCACAAAATATTATTTTAAGAGATCAACAAGATGATTTGGAATTCTTATATGCATATTTATGTAGACCTATCATAAAATACAAAATCACCAAAAAACCTGTATAATATTAACTATAACTTTTATTTGAGTTCATATCTCTTGGGACACACTGTTAATTTACTCTAGTTCTGCCTAAAAGAATTGTAACTTGAGATCCTGATGAGTAATAAAATCTAATTGTGTATACGAGCGCCCCACACTTGATATTGCTGGCACAAAAAATATAGCTAATAAAAAGGAAAAAAAAAGGTCTCATACATTCATTTACTTTAATACTGTCTAAAAGAATTTCATGTGCTTTGCTATTGAGGATTCCCTTTTGTTTTTATCCGAATCGCAAAGTCTTGTGGAACTTTATCTGTTTGTCCATGATTCATTTGTAACAAATACTTTTTGAATTACATTGCAGATTAGATTGCATGATATTCAGAAGATTTAAAAAGATTCAAAATCAAACTGATCAAGGAACTGTTAGACCAGTGCCAGAGGTCAAGAACAAAGGATCTCCCCTTCAAGACCGAGGCAAATCTGATTTGGTGATTGGACTTAATTGCAATAGTCAGGTTCATATGGAAATAAAAGATTCAAGAAATTGTGATATAAAAAATGGTAGAATTACCGTTAATCATGTTGAGAAATTTAGGCATGTCCCCAAGAAGGCAAATCAAGATGTAGTTGAGTTTAAAAACCTCCACTCTGAAAAAAAATCTAAGACTTCAGTTTCTTCATATAATTACTTTAAAGAAAAGAATGATGAATCTAGGTTTTCAAGTATGGATAAGGAAGAAAATCTCAGTGGTAAAAAAGCTTTTATTAAAGATACATGTGAGGGAAGACTCTTACAAGATTTGGACACTTTAACAAAATATAACAGATGTGAAAGTAACTATGAATTAAGTAAAACAAGTAAGATGGACCGAAAGCTGGCACATGTGACAAGAATCCATAAGGAGGAGCTCGAAAATAATAATGAAAGAAATAAAACTATAGAAGACTCCCATACTTCTACAAAACACAATAAAACGGAAAGAGAGAAAGTGTACAATGGAGCAAGATCAATTTCACGGAGCAGAAAAGAAAATACCCAGAAGTCCACAGTCAATAATGAATGCAAAAATGAAATCCATGGTGAACAGAAAAACAATTCAAGTAGACATTATAGTGACAAAATTCTTCATAGATACTTGCATAGGAAAGACCACAGAACAACATCTCAAACTTCACCTTCTAAATATAAATCAAGCAGAGATACACATCATCTGTCTTCTCAGTCGTCGTTGACCAGATCAAAACCATGCAAAAGGAAAGCAGCTGAAATGTCTCATTCAAGTATTGAAAGTAAGAAATATAGAGATAATTCAGGTAGACATAGGATTGCGTATAAAAAGTAGTGAAAATAATATTTAAAAATAAAGGATATCTTGATTTAGGTGGAAAAAAGAAATTATTACATACACTATACTGCAGTTTTGATTCATTAGTGAAACATTATCAAACATATATTAATGTTTAAGACAAAATGCTTAAACATAACTTGTAAAGCCCTAGTGAAGAAGAAAAATTAAGTAAAAAAACTCTTTTCTAAAAAAAATGCATAGTAAGATGCTAGAATAGCTGTTAACTTTAAGATTATTCATTTTTGTTATTATACCTTCTTCTTCTTTCGTTATCATATGGTTCATGGCACAGTATATTTTATTTATGGAAGAAGTGTGCAGCATTTGTGAAGTGCTCTTAAAATTATGAGCAAGAGATATCTATTTTTTTAGCATAATGTCTGATGATCTTACCATTTCTTTGTTGTAGATGGTGAGAAAATTAGTACATTTGATTTTTTAGACCATCCCTCTGATATGCTTTTCATTGTACCTCTTTCTGAGGATTTAAACACTGGTTTCATACATTTGAATTGTATGAAACCAGCATTTAAAATTAAAAATATAATCAGTTTCTTCATTAATAGAATTTCCTGGATTACAATTTTATTTTTAATACTAAATTAAGGAAATATTTTAAGGTAAAGATTGTTTTAGAAAAGTAATGGACAAAATTTCATTTGATATAGTTAGGTGAATTAATTTTCTATGAATATTGGTGAGAAACCCATATTTTGACTTAGTGATGTTAGCATCAAGGAAATTCAGAGTAAAAGTAAGTTCAGGTTCTGTGATAAACTGACCTGCAAGGTGAATGTTATTGATATGAATTAAGAAATATTCTGGTCTATCCTATTTTTGAAACTCTAAAGGCATTATTGACACACCTAAGCCAAAATGATGGAAGGTGTAAGGCAGAGTTTAAGAACATAGAACAGGCCAGAGAAATTAAGACTCGAAACTGAGGGCTTCTTCTGTTAATGTTACTCTTCATCAATTATGAAACAATTATAAAGAGTTAATTCAAACAGCATCTTTACATTAGGACAAGAAATGGTATAGTTAGAGTCTTAACTACAACATTCTGTAGCTACATTTAGTTCTTGAAATCTACGTTAACATGTACACTACCTCATACCACACATAAAAAAAAGTTTAATTGTTCAAGGAAATGATAAGTAACACTTAGATTATGAGTACTGTTATTAAAATATGGTTGTATTAATGACAGAGTTACCTTTTTCAGCTTTCGAAATCATTATTTCTTCATTAACTTTAATACACTTTGTACTTGTCTTTCGTAGGATTTTATGATAACCCATAATGGAAGAAAATTATTCTTGACAAGGGTCAGTTTCTTACTGTAGGTATTTTAGAAAGATTACTTGGGTTTCTTGTATGTCAGAGAATAAGGCTGCTTTGTGGTAATTCATTTTTGTAATTAAGTTACTTTAAACTTAAAGTATTGTTTCCTATTTCATATGATGATGACTTTCTTTTCAAAGAGTAACACCCTTCCCTTCCCTAGCTTTAACTGGTAATTTAGTATAGACATATTTTTATGTGAGTAAACTTTTTACCATTCTTCTAGACCTTTGGTTTGAATGACACTTATTAATCCACAACCAGAAAGATTAAAAAAATATTGGTCATCGGTGTAAGGGTTTTGGTCTTCGTTAGCAAGTGTTTCTTGGTTTTTTCATGTGTTTTATTTCAGTAGAAAAACTTTTAAGTTTAAAGAACTCTTATTGAATGTTGTCATATAAAATAGTCAAAATATTACAATCTGCAGCTTGTCTAGATTGCTTCGGTGTTTTTTTAATTATTTAATTACATATTAATTTTTCTAAGGTTGATCAGATCTTTATACTGAAAGCAGGTCACTTATTTTGGATGTTATTTGTTACTTATGAAAACTGGAGTTCGCTTTTATTTGTAGAGTTTAATTTCTTCACATTCACATATTTTGAGAAATGTCAAAGTTAGGGTTATTTTATTGGGAATTTTGAGCTTTTTGAAAGAATACTTTAGTCACGTAATTTCATGTGGAAAAAGATGTTGACTAATATTGTATTGATAAATCTATAAAGTTTACACAATAGATAGAAGGCACTTAGAAAATTGACTTCCTTCAATTTTTACTATTACAAAATGTGTTTATATTTATGAAAAGATCCTATCTTTTTGACTCAAACAGAAGTAGAGAATTACAGTATTTCTCCTTATAAAAGATATATATAAATGTGCTAGAGTATTTCTTAATTGAGGATCATACTTTTTGGTCATCAAAGCTTCTCTAATGTTTCTTTTGTTAATATTTGGTTATTACATACTATATCTAAGTACTTGTCCTGTGTTCATGAACATGAGAAAGAGGTTTCAGATGTTTTCTGAGCCTAATGTCTAATGGTCTTGGTGTTACACAAATGTAGGTAGCTGGGCAGTCAGTACATTTGAGTTTATAGATCATCCAATTATAGTATACTTGTTGTTGTACACCTTCCTTAAAAAATAATTTATGTACCAGTTTCATAACAAACCTAATGTATAGATTATGTTTTTTGCATAATCTTTTAAAGTTGCTAACAACAGAAACTTAGATGTCAATTGATGTTAGTTTCTTTTTTTTAATTGTTTTGAGAAATTAGTTTAAAATTAGTCATTCACTGACATGAAATTAATTTCAAATAGGTAAATAAAAAAACTAATAAATGCAGGATAATGGGTAAGCAGAAAAAGATTCCTTCAAGGTTTCTAAATCATACAAAATATATTTTTATTGAAGAAAACTGTAACACTAACATTCAAGTGGTGTTCTGGAGTTGAATAACAATGAATATTACAGCCTCTACTCATCATAAGAAAACTATCACCAGTACTAAAACTTAGAAGGAAATCTGTTAACTAAAGAGGAAGACATAATACAGTGTATATACTTTTTTAAATAAATTGTTTTACTCCAGAAACTGTATTGAAAACCTAAAATTTAATGGTATTTTTATGCATTCAGCTTGGACTTTTGAACGTATTTATGGGGAAGTTTTATGTTATATTTCAAGTGATTTGACATAATATTTCTTGTGATATGGAAGTATACACAGGAAAATAAAGTTTTACATATATATAGTTGTTTCAAAAGTCATCTATGTTACTTCTTTCATGTGAAACTAAAAGTGTTGTGTTAGTGCAAATCTACACAATGGGCAACGTGCACCTTGTCCAATGCAGGGAATTAAACCCCATATTTAAGCATTGTAAGTCTATATAGTTACATCCTCTGTTGGCTCAGCAATATGCTTTATGGCTTAAAATTCAGATTTTGGATTTGACATGGTATACACAGTGCTGACAAGTCATTGGACAGCCTTGCACTAAAAAGAAAAGGAATCTTTTAAATGTAGTGAATTAAAGAGTTGCTTGTAACATCATAGTTACTTACTTTTAAAATTAAAAAACAATGGAAAAATTTCTACAATTACAGTAAATAAAAACTTGAAAAGATTTAATGCTTTAATTAATTTTTTACAACAGTGATTAAAATTTATATAAATTATTCAAGTTGATTTTCTACCATATGACAAAAATTTGATTATGATTGCTTTTGAATGATGTACAGTAATATAAATAAGATAATTTCAGTTAAATACTGTTGTTCAGAATCATCGTTTTTTCATTATTTTGTTGAACTGCTCTTAAAATTGTAGTATATATTATTCAGTGAACAATTATTTAAGAAAAAATGTACTGAGAAGAAAGATGTGAAAATTTCTTTTACACTTGTTTTCAAATTAAATACAATGTGTGTGTGAATGGAAGAGCTAATACATGTTCGGGAATGTAAAAATTACTGAATAAAGTAGGTATTTTATTTACATGTGGAAATCATGCATCAAGTGACATATCCTGCAAAACTTTTTAGAATACAACTTTTACATTGAAGATGACACTGAGTTGACTTCTGTTTTAAATATAGAACATGAATAGATCACTGGATGGTATTTGTATGATTATCATTTGTCTTGAAATCATAATATAATTAGAAAAGTCTTGAAAAATTATAAATGTGTGTAAAATAAAGATTGGAGTGTGCATCATATTAGTAATATGTGGTAGTAAAGTGACATATTTCAAAAATATGTTTGAAAAATGCATAAGTATGTTTAGCTTATTTTTTTAAGCACAGAACATGATAGGTGTTAACTGAAGGTTTTATAATTTCTGATGTAATTGAATGATTGTATAATTAATGAAACTAGATGTTACAGCAAAATTTACTTTTACAACGTGTTATGTGATTTCTTAATGTTGTCGGTTTTAGTCAAATAGTTAACTTTTAAAACCAGTTTTGTTAAGTAGAATCAGTACATTAAAATGAGCTGAACACTCATTTCACTGTGACTTAACTTTTAGTAGGATATGAATATTGCTAATTAGATTCTTCTTAATAATTAGCTTAATAAGTACAAGAATATAATCTTGTACATGAGAAAAGTATTGTTTCAATGTCAGTTATATCCCATATTATCTATTGTATATAGAGATAACCATACATATTTTCTTTTAAGATATCATCAAAAACAGTGAATGCAAAGTCTTTTAATCACTTTAAGAATTAAATACTATGTGAAAAAAATACAGGTGGATTTAGCCAATTGTAATGTTATTTAGTTCTTTAATATGTGAAGAGTATTAATAATAGTTATTTTTAACAGATGTTGTATAGTTTTTGAATTAGATTAAGTCTCCAGATGTGTGTAACTGTGTTTAGGAACTATTAGATTGAGTTGTGAAGCTTTTTTTTTTGTTGTTGTTGCTGTTGTTTAATTTGAAACTTAAAATTCAATTTTGCAACCAGATTGTACAAGAAGCAGACATCCAATAAACAATCAGTTTTTTAATTTGAGTTTGCAGTTTTTATACTAAATTTAAGCCATATTAGAAACCTTATAAATCAAACCCTAAGCACATCAGTACATGTTGGATACTAATTTGTAAAGCTTCTGGGAATAGAAGGGTAATTACAATAAAAGTTAAAACCAAAAGTAGTATACGAGATGAAAGTAGGCTGATTTTTGAAAAGTCAAATAATAACATATTATTTTGGGACAACATTGGACCTAATGGTCCATCTAGGCTGTTCCATCCTCAAAACTAAATTAAAATGATTAAAAAAAATCAAATGAAAATATTCTAAACCCAGCCCTTTTCATTCACACACTTATCAAGCAGTTTCTTAAACTCGCTTAAATTTACTGTCTCTACAACATCTGAAGACAACCCATTTGAAAGGCCAACCACCGTTAGAAAAATAAAACTGTCTTAGCTGAAGATGACTCCTGCCTTACCAAAATTTGTGTGTGTCCCCTAGTCCTTCTTTTGTCATTGTTAAATATAAAAAAAGATGATACATCAACACTATAAATTCCATTTACAAGCTTAAACATTTCAATCAGACCTCCCCCCCCCAACTCTTTGTTTAACCCTTAAATGCATTAAATAATTAATTTACGTTATTGCATAACAGGGATGATCGCTAATGTAAAAAAGGATTCGGATTACATTTATGTGTAAATTTTTGTTATTAAATCTTAACACAATACGAGTGGTATGGTCACAATACCAGAACAGCAACAGAAGTATCCAGAAATATTGAACCATTAACAAATATGTACTGCAGTTCCTTGGAGATGATAAACTGAAATTAGCATAAACAGCTGTTCACGCTTTGCGTGTGGTGAGAAAATAGCAATGGTCCATTTTTCACACAATATGCTTATTTTTCTGTCTTAAGAGGTAGAATACATCAAGCATCTGTTGAAGTTGGAAATGGTTGCAGTGTTATTTGATATACTCTCATGACACTTATGAATGCCACACCTTTTCCAATAAAAGTAACAAACCTTACCACATTCATGTTCTTTCATTCAAAATCACTGTACAATAAACGTTTTTTTCTTTTGTGTGTGTGTGTTTTGGCTAAATTAATGTGATGTATTCACCAAGAAGGTTCATTTAAGGAATTGAAAAAAGTTTGGCCCCAAAAATTTTATATTAAAATTAAACCAATAATGTTGGGTACATAGGTCATTTGTGACCCACCTAATTTTATGTGGTTAATCCAACTTTAAAATTTGTATATACTATATATGCAAATGTATAGTCTATTGTACTTAACATACTGGCTTTCAAATGATGTAATTTTTTAATGCTAGTTACTGTATCAGTTTCATTGAAAATATACATGTTCCAGCTCAAACTGATGTCATTATGTCGCTGCAGAGAGGCATACTGTTTTTCTCTCGTTTCTTCTTCCATAAATAACTTGGTAGGGGTTATACCTTGGTCCAATATGTCTAGACACATTTTTAATTTTACGGGATAACAGGTAAGGTAAAACAACCCAAATATATATATTTTGAGCTCCTGTGCAGTCATATTTACAGTAATCAAGAAAAAATTGGTACAACTATAAAACTTCATGTACCAAACACATTACATACAAAAAAGTTGGATTTGTCCATTTTGAGTTCTTTTTTTTTTCCTTTTTTTAAGGGGTTCAGAGCTCCCAAAAAAGCATAATTTTGGGGTTTTTGATCCATTACTTGGCCATATCTTATCCAATTTACATGAGATTTGGTACAAAGATACTTTTGCACAGGCAACACACATTGACAAACAAAAATGATGGACTCGTCCATTTTTAGTAATTATAGGGGGATCGAGATGCCACAAAAATCATAATTTTATGGTTATTTGACATTTAGCCCTCCATTTTTTGGCCAATTTACATGAGATTTAGTACAAAGATACATTTTTACAGAACCCATACACATACATACAAAAATGTGGATCATGCCCATTTTAGGGGGGATCAAATAATCCCATAATTTTAGGGGTTTTGGTCAGTAACTAAAGACTTGTTTTGACTAATTTAAATGGAACTTGGTACAAAGATACTCTTTTTTTTCCAAGGTTCCAAACAAAGATATAGACAATTTTTGTCTTTTGTTAAATTTTTCAGCAGGGAAAGTACAATTTGGGATTTTCATGAAGTATTCTTGTATATATCAATGAACTTACATGGTATTTGGTACAAATATACCTTCTTGCATGTCCCAAGCAGTGATATAGACAGTTTTAGATTTTTATGGTGACAAAATTCACCATTTTAGGATTGTGTGGCAGAGACATATTCCAATCACCCTTGAATATTGGCCTCTTTAACTTCTATTTGTTTTTAAACATTTTACTTAGTATGAACCTTTGACAATTCACATAATATATATTTATGTTACAAAATTAAAGCACTGTAACATACTGTTATAAACTATATTTTTAATCTTGTAACTTAGATGTTACCTAGAGAGAGCTGCAGGTCATAATGATTACATTATATTAGGCTAAGAAGGATCTAAAAATTTGACTATAGGCTTTCTAGTACATTCAAGATTAGATAATAAATATAGGGTCAGCAAAGCATAAAGAAAACATTAACAGTAGTAAAAAGATGTTTCCAGCTGGTAGAGTGAACCAGTTAGCATATTTTAATTTTTAGCGAAGTATTTTGATCTGTGTTGGCTACAGCGGCGTAGCAAGTGGGGGGCAGGTGCCCCCAGGCACAGGTGTGAAAGGGTGCAAAGTTTCTCATTCTATATAAACCTTTTAAAAATACAGCCTTTGAGCCTCTAGGCTTATGTTATTATTACACCCTTCTCCACAGTTTGTGTAATTTTCATTTGAGTAATTTCAGACTTGTCTCCGGTAGTGTTCGTGTAGTTAAACCTATCGAGTCTTTAAATGTGATTTAGCAACTGCCAGTAATTTATATGGTGCTCATGAGCATGATTTACCAGCATATACACTCATCTGCATTGATTTTCTTACTGTTGTGTCACATTAATTAACATGAGTATGGGTGGTCTAAATAATGGCAGTTAAAGTGAAACCAGGTCCAGATGTGCCTAACTAGTCCAGAGTTGGAACTGTAATTGTATAATTTAAATATAATTTGTGGTTAGGAACTTAGGAAAGTGGAATGCTTCCTTTCATCTGACAATTTGCATGTTGGCTAAAAGAATAAATTAATAAATACTGACTACACTATTTAGTTGCTCTTTTGCATCCCTGTGCCCCACTTTCTTTTTTCGACATAATGTGTGCACAATTTGCTACTTCGATGGTGGAGTCATGCAAATTGATGAGAGCTTTCCTTGCTGGAAGTGATGACACCAGTAAGCCAGCATCTGTTCCTTCTGATGGCAGCAAAGATGTCAAAGTGCAAGATTGTGAACATGCTACTTCATTTGAAAAAGAAAACAATGAAGAAACTGTTCTCTGTCCTGTTGAAAGCTACAATAATAATAAACAAGAGGATTCCACTTTGTCAGAAACAAATCCACAGAATAGTGTTGCTAAGCTAAAAGAGGATGACCTAATAAATATTTTAACACACAGGGATATTGGATTTATGAAGTTTGATACAACAGGCTCAGCAGTTGTAACACATGCACATTGCACAGAGATTGTTAAAGTTGGAGCACATGAATTTCAACATAAAGAAGGACAATTTGATGCCAAAGACGGCATTCTGTTACTGCGTTTTGGTTCAAACGACACTTTCTGAATGGACAAGAGGTCAGTCATTCCTGGTTGGTGTATTCACCTCTACATGAATCAGCATACTGCTTTTGTTGTCTTCTTTTTTCATCTAAATGTATGACATCCGATAGTCGGTCTGCTTTCAAAACACAGGGTGGATTCTCTAAGTGGAAAAAATTGAAAAGTTAAATGCCTATGAAAATAGTGACAGTCATCGTGAGCCATTTGCTGTTTGGAAAGAAACTGAGTGCCAAATTCGTCTTCAAAGTGGCATTGATGAAGAGCTGCAAAGGCAAATTCATCATGAAAAAAATAAATGGAGATATGTTCTGCGATGATGCTGGATTGTACACAATATTTAGCTTCTCAGAATCTTGCATTTCGTGGTCATACTGAGGACATAACCTCAAACAAAAACCCTGGAAATTTCCTGTCACTTTTGCAGTTATTAGCAAAGTATAATCCAGTAATGAGAGAGCATTTAAAGCGTGTTGAAAACAAGCAAACATCAACATCTTATCTTTCTCCTGAAATCCAAAATGAGTTTATAAATCTCATGGCTTCACATATGCAAAATTATTGTTTGTCAGCAATTCGTAGAAACAAATACTATGGTATTCTGTTTGATTCCACACCTGATTTAGCCCATTGTGAACAATTGGCCCAAGTGATTCGGTTTGTTGACATTGACTTTAAGACAAGAAAAGTAGAAGTCAAAGAGTCATTTATTGACTTTATACAGATAAAGGAAAAAGATACTGCCAATATTGAGAAAACAACAAGCACAAAATTAGAAGCGGATGGAATTTTATTGAGTGATTGTTCACAATGTTATGATAATGCTTCTCTCATGTCAGGTCATCTGTCAGGCATTCAACAAAGAATTCTGAACAAAAATCCAAAAGCAGTGTTTATAAACTGTGACAACCATAGTTTGAAATTAGCATGTCTTCATGCTGCAAGTCAGGAAACAACAGTTATTACCTTTTTTGGTATAATTGAAGCCATTTATAATTTCTTTGCTCATTCAACAACTCAATGGGACGAACTGCAGCAGGAGCTTACGATTTCTGCCAAGCGTGAATGCCAGGTGTAAATGTAGCTGATGCTGGATTGACTGCTGAACAGGAAATTTATTGCATCATGAAGGATGTTATTGATCGCTTGATTACAGAAATAACAGGAAGATTTTCTCACTTACAAGATTTAGATTCACGGTTTAGATTTCTACAAGATGTGCAAAATATTGTTTCTGGAGATTTCGAAGACAGAAAATTGCAAGAAAAATGTTCTTACTTAGCAAAGAGCTATCCAGTTGATATTGAT